AGATGCTAGCATGCTAACCATGTTGTCTATGAGGGTTTCGTTTTCTTCAGTTATCTGAATTTTCTACTTCTCTACAATAAATATATATCAGTTTTGAAATACATTTAAAAGTTTGTCAGGTTACTTTATTTATGCTATGATGGAGCTTATGGAGGCAATATAGTACAACAGAAAAATTATGATGGAATTGGAGGTCAGACACGTGATTTTAAAATCAGCTCTGACACTTACTAGAGTGGGACACTGGGCAAGTTATTGAACCTGTCTGAGACTGTTTCCTCATGTGAGGCTTGAGGATAATGTTTGCCTAGCAAATGTATAAACTTTTAGTACAGGAAAAGTACACAGCACAATGCCCAGCACATAACACATTACATAATAAAATGTAAGTAGCAGGTTGGGCACCGTGGCTCACAACTGTAATCCCAGCACTTTGGGAGGCAGAGGTGAGAAGATTGCCTGAGACCATGGGTTTGAGACCAGTCTGGGCAACTTGGTAAGACCTCATCTCTGCAATAAATCAAAAAATTAGCTGGGCATGGTGGCATGCACCTGTAGTTTCTGCTACTTGGAAGGCTGAGGTGGAAGATCACCCAATCCCAGTAGGTACACTGCACTCCAGCCTGGGCATCAGAGTGAGACTCCAACTCAAAAATAAAAATTAAAAAAAAAAAAAATGTAAGTAGCATTTGAGCCACATATGCATCTGTGGTTGCATCTTGAACCATTAAATGACATCTCTGCCCCTGAAAAGATTGTCATTTCATTTCAGGATCCTGTCATTTGTGTGTTGCTATAATTTACAGGGCAATTGAATGGGAGCTGGTTTTCTGAGTTCTGAAAGAGGATAAGCACAAGCATGGAAGGTAATAATAGCTTTTCTGTCAACCAATGTATCTCTTGAGTGCTTTGACTAACTAAAACTAGTTGTCAGCTATCAAGTGTAAGCAAGTAGCGAACATAATATGGAATGGTACAAGTCTTTTTTTTTTTTTAAGAAACTGCTTTCATCAATAGTAATGAAAACTCTTTCAGAGTTATATATGAAGCTCAGCACTGACACTTCATTACTTCCCTCCACCAAAAGCTTCGAATACAGTATAGGGTAGAAATAACTTTGGTTTGGAAATAAGAGTATCTGTTCTTCTCCCAGCTCTGTAATTATATAGTTGTGACTATAAGCAAGTCATTTCACCCCCATGGATCCTGCTTTCTCATCTATAAAATGGGAGGTTTGAACCAGATGAATTTCTGTTTAAAAATTCTGTGGTCTTGTTCCCACACATTGTCAAGGCCTCCTGTGGCCAGAGCCCAAGCTCACACAGTACACGTCACCCTCTCCCCAGCGGGCTCCATCTGCTCTGGCTGAACAATTTCTAGACTCACTCAGGGTTTCTCCTCTGCTTTGCTCTTCAGTGCATCTGGGGTGTTAGGCTCTCTCTTCTACTTACCCACTTCTTGCCGACCTGGCAGACTCAACACAAATCTCCCTCAACATAAAAAGTTTTCTAGGACCATTTCAGTCTTCTCTAACCTCACTATCTTTGGGATAGATATTGATTAACACGTCTTTGTAGTACATCCTGGTCTAGACTGGGAAATACATGGAGGGCAGAGCTCCCAGTGTGAGAACATTTCCATATTGTGACCCAACATAATGCTACACATCCTGAACCTTTCTTTGCTCTTTTGGGAAAAAGATATGACCACCACCTATCTCCTAGAGCTGCTGGGAAGAACAAAGGAGGCACTAATATGACAATGTTCTGCACTCTGGCTAGAATCAATTAGGAGATCAAATACTAATTTTCTTCCTCTCCTCCCTTTCTATATATTTGGTGGCTGGTCTTCCCTGCAAGGTGGTCTACTGAAAAACACATTTATTTGGGAGATGAAAATCCCGGTTGCGTTAGAAGCCTAAGAGGACCTTGGGCAAGTCTCAATTGCTCTGTTGCTTAGATTTTTTTTCAAATGAAGATTATGACACTTGTTCTTATCTCTTATGATAGAAGAATAAAATGAGATAATACATGAGAATGCACATTCTTTTGAAAAGTTACTAGCATTATTATTTTTCATATGTCCTAGTTTCAGAAAGAAAAATCTTAAAACAACATGAGACAGCAAGATGTCAATGTTAACAGGTGATTTGATGATGACTGAAAATCCCACTCTTGATATAGACTAGAAATGTCAGAAAGTTTTATTATTGTTCCTTGGGGTAGAAAAGCACAGACACTGAAAATATTAGGAAGCTTTCTTTTTTGAAGGCAATCACCTGGGGCATTACTTGTTTCCCAGGCTGGCATATTTTCTAAGTCAAACAACATCATAAACACACCGGGGTGGCGGGGGGGTGCTTTGCGTGTCTCAGAATTGGGCATATCTATTTGACAGTGCTAACTGCAAACTAATTTTTAAAATTGTGACATCAAAACCTTTGTCTTTATTGTAAATTAATTTCATTATTATTATTTCTTTTTCATTAAAGCATGTCAAGATTAAAGGAGGGAAGACCAAAAGAAAAATACAGTTCCCAAAATACAGTGGGGTTTTTTTTGTATCAATAAAAGTTATCAACACCAATAGGGTATGTAATATAATACAACATAAGAACCCATTATACATAGAAAGGAATAAAATATATCCATAAAGAAACATTTCTGTCCAAAAATCAATCTGTTAAAAAAAAAATGAGGACCAGGATTAAGGAAGGGTAATCTGAAGAGAAACATTTTGAAAGAAAATTATTTTTCTAATAACAACATAAAGGCATCAGACTTTTTTTTTTTTTTGAATTGGAGTCTTACTCTGTCGCTCAGACTGGAGTGCAGTGGCACACTCCCGGCCACCGCAGTCTCAACCTGTTGGGCTCTGGCGAGCCTTCCACCTAACCCTTCCAAGTGGTCGGAACTACAGGTGCGCGCTACCACACCCAGCTAGTTTTTGATTTATTGTAGAGATGAGGTTTTGCCAAGTTGCCCGGACAGGTCTCGAACCCGCGGGCTCAGGCAATCCACTCGCCTTGGCCTCCCAAAGTGCTGGGATTACAGGCTGAGCCACCGAGTCCAGCTGCATCAGACATTATTGGTGACAAAAAAGGTCTTAGAATTATCACTTAGGAGTCTGCTTTTCTTCTACTTCAGAATGTAATCATGCAGCTAGGTAGGTAAGTGGAAGTTTGTGTGTGTTATAAATCACAAAAAGTGTGTGTGTGCATGTACACATGTGTACCCACATATGTACAAATGTGCTGGGAGGGGTGGAGAATTTATCTCTGTGCATGTCTTCTAATATTAGTTTATAGAGTCAATTAAAAAACACCTATCCAAAACAGATCACCATTCTAGCAAGAAGTCATGTAAAAATAAAATCTTATTTTTCTTTGCTAAATACCTTTAAAAACACATTTAAAAAACATATTATTTTGTATAAATATGTCCTTGCCATAATTTGTAATATACTTTATAAGTGACTGGAGGAGATTTCATGCATCACTAATTCATACATATAAATGTGAAGTTTGCATTAAGTAACTCTAAACAAAATCCTACTTCCTTGTAATTTTTAGAAGGAATAGGCTAACGAAGAGACAAGAGGACTCTCATTACAAGACTGACCCTCTTAGAATTAAGGCTATTCTGTTTTGAGCATGAACCTTCTACTAAAACATTCCTGGTACCAGGATTTTAAAAGGTCCTAGTCTGGAAATACTATAATGGTTGATTGGCTTAAAAAATAACATGTTAGAAGCAGAGAGCGCAGTGATTAGAAGTGGCTGGCAACATTCCAGAGTTGCTTTTTAGTACTCTTTTTAAACTCCTTTGGCTACCAGTTCTCATCTGACACCATTTTTAGGTTTATGCCAAATAAACCAGGACACTGGCATTACACAGTGTAGAAAATATCCAAGCAGCATACTGTACACATACACTTGAAATCACTAAACTCTTTCAAGTCCTGCCTTGCATGGTCACATTAAAATACATGTAGAACTTTCCTGAAGATGAGCACATTTTATAACTTTCTTAGAACATATTATGATAATTGTCACAATGGTATTTTCTACAACTTCTCTGTCAATAAAAGTGGAATTCAAGATATAATGTATGTTCAGTTTCATAGTTCAAATTCCTGTTAAGAGAAAATTGAAAGGAGACCACAATCAAATGGGCAGATAAATGACTGCAAAAAATAATGCTTAAACTGTAATCAAAAAGAGTAGACATTCCTTGAAAATAAGATAAAAATGTTTGTTTTGTCAACACAAAGTACAGTTTTATAAAGAAAAAAACCTCTTACAAAATTGTTATTAACCAATGGCTCATTTTTTAAAAATCTTCAGATTATTTTAATTATCTTAGAGTTCTTATAATTTGTACCTCTCCAAGAAACAGTTTATCACGATGTAAATGCTAAGGAAATGTTTACATGGTTTTATACTGATCAGTCTAGAAATCTATAAAAAATGCTGTCTTCCCTAGAGATACCACTCTTAGTCACCTAAATAAAATGTAAAACACTATTTAGCAACATTCCTTATAAATATCTAAATACCTTTAAACAAGATAGGCCTATGCTGACTTAAATTAGAAGCTGAAGTCTAGAAAAACAAATTCTATATAACACTCATAAGGTCATGGAATCATATAAAATTACTTATCTAAGGCAAATATCTTCATATTCAAATAAAAATTAAACAGCACAGGATAAAATACCAACCATTCTTAATCATAGCTTAAGTCTGATAACCAAAATCAAAAATGTAATGCCATACCAAATACATCTCACAAATTAACCAATGCAAAGCTCTAAGCTTTAAAGTGTTTGATAGTATCAATAAAATCCCCAGGAAAACCAAATATTGCAACTCTCCTTGGAACATAGGTGTCTTAAATCATGGTTAAACAGACAGAATGTTAAGAATGGTATGGTTTTTATTTTCTATAGCAAGTTTATTGACACTTTTTTTCTAGTAAAGTTTGAAAATCTGACACTACCTGTCCACATAGAAGGGGAAACAAAACTTGGTCAAAGTCTGTAGAACTTCCTGTGGAGAGAAAGAGAGATAATTTATACATCTAATGGGACCAATAAATCTAACATTAACCACAGCACACAATCTAGCAACTTTATCCTAAAGAAAGAGGAGACACATGAAGAAATATGGGCTTTATCAATTACATGGGAGGAATACCAGGCAGTCAATCATGAGAAATAATAAACATGATCAAACTTCATTAAAAATGAAAAATTAATCAAGAATCACACATGGGCAAGCAGCAGGAGCCATGCAGGAAAGCTCTGAAGGGAGGGAGGCGGTTGGGTTGCTGAGTGTTAACACCCCTCCAGGGACCATCTCCAGCCTGACCATATGGATCAGAGTGAATAACACTGAGCCACATGGGTTTGGCCTGGCAGGGCCGCTGTTGCTGGCACCGTTTTTGCCTGTTACCTAGGAACAGAGGGGGCCGGGATTAGACAACGCTTCCCAACATCAATAGGCCAAATCACAGCAAAATAGAAAGCCAACTTGAGATAATTGTCTCTGAACACTGTCAATTACATTTTTTAGAGTTTAAAACTTCATTCACTTACTTTATGAAGAAGTTGCCACTTCTGGCATAAATTTGTTTTGGAACCAAACTTTATAATTTTAAGTATGTACTATTTTTAGTTAAATATATTTATCATAATTGAACATGCTCACCTGCTTGTAATTTATGAAAGTTTAAAGCTAACTACCAATTTAAATGTCTTTTTTACAAAGATATAGGTACATAAAACCAAGCACATTATTCAGGAGTAGGGTGCAAAAAACAGGGTGACATCGCAAAGATTTATTTATAAAAGACAATCTTCTTACATTAAGGTACATAAGACACAATATACAGTAGTGTGTGACTTTTCCTAAGGGACACATTCATATATACAACATATATAAACATAACCAAACACATATACAAGTAATTGATTATTATTTTCTTCACAGAAGTTTCTTTAGCTTGACTTATGAACTGCAGACTTGGACAGCCCACAGTTGGTGCTTATCATAAGTTCATAGACCAATGTTATAAATTTTAAAAAAGTATTCCTTTCATGCATTTTATTTGCTTTTTAACTATTTTACATCCCAACTTCAAGACAAAATGAAGAACACATTTTCTGGTCACTCAGAAACTGGTTCAAATTAAAACAAACCTGCCCATTGCAAATCCTAGTCCAAGTGATAAATTAAAGATCAGTTTACAAATGTAGCACTTTTCTAACCAATAATAATGAATTATCAATGCTAACTGAATTGATGCTTCTCGCTTCATTTATTTTTAAAACCAGTTCTATCATTCAAGAAATAAACCACATCAATCTAATAACCTACTCAATGAAGCAGAAAGCACATTGACTTGCTCTGCCAGAGCATGTTCTGCCTACATAAGTCAATTGAGCATATCCTATTTTTTAATATCATCTTGGACTGGTATATGTACATCACAACACTGTTAAGGTATGTACTGAAATAGTAAATGAATAGAAAACTAAAAAGTAATAAAGAGTGGATAAAAATACCTCAATATATCTGAAGAGGCATTATTTATACATTAATTTTATGATGTAGCATTCTAACATATATAGTTTTTAAACTAATCATATTTCAGTAAATTGCAATAGGTAATAAAGAATGAGAACAAAGGCAATCTCTCAGAGTATAATGCTATCATGAAAATTATAGAAAAAGAGATATAAAGCATTCATTTTAACATTCACAGTTTTAACTCTAAAATACACTATAATCTACATACACAAAACTCTTATGCTAACACACACACACACACAAATTCTTTACAAATTTCCTTCCACTTTACGTTTCAAATAATACCACAAAGCATTTCTTAACTTCAGTATATGTATCAACTATTCTTTAAAACTCAGTATTATGTGTTCACACATTGCCAATATCAGCTACAAAGACAGTTATCCTTTACCCCTCAAAAGTTACAGGTGCAGAAAGCATTTCTCTACTCTATGCTGGAGTTGTGCTGGCAAAAGGCCTCAAAGATTTTTGAAAGAAAGAACCCCCATGGCTACGAGAAAGCATTGTGCTCTACAGCAGAGTCAAAGGAATCTAATATGCCCAACTTATTACTCGCTACAATATAGAAACTACTTACTACTTTCTAATGTCAAGAGTAATAACCAACCTTGAACTTGTCTGTCAGATAACATAAGAACAAATATCAAAATACCCAATGTAGGCTGAGGGTAACCCACCTCCCACAAGCTTCCCTTTTTACCCAAGAAAGCTAAGAGAAGTCTAAGTAATGGGATAGAGGGAGGGAAAGGGAATATAGGCAAATGTAGGCACATGTTGGTAAATTACATCATGTTTCTTCATGTTTGTGATATTACAAGAGCTTGATATTCCAACTTAAGTCAAACAAGATGGTGGTGTACTATCAAAAAAGAAAATAAAAATGAGCATCTACTCTGTGTTAGGCATATTCACAAATTATCTCAATCAGAACTGAGATACCTACTTTTTAGTTGGGAAGAGGAGGGCAGAAAAAGGAAGGAAAAAACAAACAATGTTCTCTGTAAATAAAAACTGCTGAAATAAACTAATTTGCTTAATACTGATATCTTCTTTACATATAAATATTCAACTAGCTTATCTTTTTTTCCCACAGAAAAATACAATTATTTGAATATGAAAAACACTACTCTCCAAGAGAAAGGTCTTTAAAACCCTGATTTAAATAGATTTTGATCATTATATTCTCTCTAGAACCTGTGTTTCTGGCTAGGGAACTTTCTCTGTAGATGGTAATTTTCTTATTCTCTCCTTCATTTCCCTTGCCTACACAGCTCTTTTAGACAACCCAGCCTCAGTGCAACTTCAACTACTGCCACATAAATCAGATCTTAGAAATGCAGTACAGCTGATAAAATGTAAATGACCTCATTGCTAAGGCAGGGGGTGGGGAGGATTGTGTGCCAGCTCTCCACATCAATTCCCAAGTTTATATTTTCACAAATCTTTTTATGTACAGTTTGATTTTTTAACATTTTAATGAGCAAAAAAAGTGAATCTATAGTAGCCAGTCACCACAGTTAAAGTGCAGGGCATGAACTAGATCCCAGGAGAGAACCAGTCCACCATGTCACCACTGGCTTTAGGACATTCGCCACCTGGTTCCATGTCCCCAGGTTCCAACTCTTTTCATAATCAAAACACTGCTGACATTATAAACCCCAGACGGGTTTTCTAAAATCCCTCCCAATCAATATATCCAACACGTAACTTATTGGAGACAACACTGAGCTCATTGATTAAGGTGAGTTCAGTAGCAAAGTTTTCAAAATAAATGAGACAAGAATACAGCATTCAACCCCTTTGTGTCACCAGACAATTTATGAAATAGGCAATTTCCAAAAAGGCTTTTCTTTCTAACAAAATATATACTTCATGTAGGAAGAAATAAGAGTGGTGGGGGGGCAGGGAGGAAGTGTGGAGGAGAGGCAATTGCACAAACCTTTCAGTTTATTAAATAGCAGATTGCATAGTGTAACAGAAAAGCAACATCAACAAAGCTCTCAGAGTATGAACTAAGATATAAAATAAATACACCTAACGCTAGATATACTTTCAAGTGAAATTCAGAAATGAACTCAAGATTCATCACAGTCCACTTCGAGTTCATTTCACACAATTCAAATTCTCATGTGCTCAGAAGGCTCATTGAGAGAATGTATTCCAATCTGGAGAAAGTAGATTATGTTCTGCTGATACTGAGTCATTTACTTAAGAATCTAGTAAAGTTTTAAATGTGTAATATTATCCATTAGCAAATTCTACCTGGAAGCAAAACTTCAAAGACAAAATTCAATGAAGCTAACTGGGATTATGAATAATGAGAAGGCTAGACCAATTCACAATTCACCCTGAATTTGGAGTACAAGTTGGGGAGAGTAGGAAATCCTGTGACAGCAATCATTTCATATGTCAAATCTTTAGTTTTCATTGAAACTTATAAACAAGAATTCATGTTATTTGGCAGATGAAAACAACTGACAGACACAGACATACACAACTCACAAATAAACACATCAGCAAGATAAAAGGGCAGGCTGACTACAGTGTCCACTGGAGTTAAAGAATGTAGGGAGATGAGGCACATTCTTAATAGTTCAAAGGGGAAAAAAATGTGTGCAGAAAAACATTTAAGTAAAAGAAAGAGATGGCTTAAATAAACAAATTTACTTTAAAATATGTAAAGCCACAATTAGCCTCTTTGTGGCATGGTGAAAGTTGATATAGCAGTTGATAAAAGAATGAAGGAGGGAAAGTAAGGCAAGACAGTGGGAGAACGCTTCCTGGGTTTCTTATATCTAATTTATTTATTCATTTAAAAAAGTAGGTATGTGATGAAAACATCAGTGGAACTCAAATTCCTAAAATACTCCCTGTCTAACATGTTTAATTTTGTTTTAATAGCATGAGGGAAATACTGACCTTCTAAGTCCTGCAGTTGAGAGCAGTGCCACTGACTTGAAAGAAAAACCTTTGATTGATGATCTTAAAATTCAAGTTGAAAGTTAAAAACAGAACACACACAAAATCCAAACATACAAAAAAGCTAACAAAATTTCTACTTTAAGTCATTTCAAGGTAAAATCAGGGGTTCCGAGTGATAAAATAACAAAGGTTTTAAATGCTTGAGATTAAGAAGGGTAAAGCAGTTGTTCTTGGAAGCTTAATTAGCACCAAGTTCAAGTATGTTGATCAGAAGTTTCCCAAATGTGAACACAGGAAATAAAATTTTTCTCCTTCACTCCAAGTGTCAAACTAAATCCAAGATCTATACTATAATTACAACCAAATTTTTACTTTTTTCCAATGAGAAAAAGAAGTCTTGAATAAAGGATTTTACAGAAAGGTCTTTCAACACCCAAACATAAAAGCTGGGTCAAATTTCTAAGGCTGCTCAAACACTACAGAGACTGCTTCCTTTCTTTGGTACATTTCAATATTTATCCCTAGCTTACTTTTTA